GTAGCAGTTTGGGGAAGAAAAACAGCATGTTGTCTGTGGACACAGCGAGCTGGACTTGCCCAAGAGGTGAGGGGTATTGTGGGTCTGGAATTCAGCAGAGGGATTTAATTTCACTAGAAATACAGATCTGAAAGTCATCAACAAACATCTAAGGGTGGAAGCTCTAGAGGTATATTTTAAGGCCTTGGGAGAGCCCGTTGAGAGAGAGAAGTGGGTTGGGGGCTGAATATCCTGGAGAAAAGCAGCGTTTAAAGGATGGAGCAGGCAGAGCTGTCAGGAAAGGAGAGCGGTGAGAAAACGGTGCTCCGGCAGGGAAGCAGAGAGCTGAGCACCTGCACCAGAGGTACCTGTCAGCTGCTCAGAGTGCTGTCAAGAGGTTGAAAGAGGATGGAGATACTTAACAAATAAGATCCAACAAATGTAATTAATTAAAGGACCTGTGTTAGTTTCCTAGGACTGCCGAAACAAATTGCCACAAGTTGAGTGGCTTAAAGCAACAGAACTTGGCTTCCTCACAGTTCGAGAGGTTAAAGACTGAAATCAGGGTGTCAGCAGGGCTGCGTTCTCTCCAAAGGATCCAGGAAGAGTCCCTCCTTGGCTCTTCCGGCCTCTGGTGGCGCCACTCTGGTCTCTGCCCCCGTCTTGACGGGACTTCTCTCCTCTGTCTGCCTGCAGCCTCTCTCTCAAAGGATCCCAGCCATTGGACTCAGGGCTCACCCTAAATCGAGCATGAGATCATCTCAAGATATGCTGGTCTTCAAGACATATAAAAGGAAGTTTTAAAATTCATCTCTATTCCCAATTTCATAATCCTTTAGAAGAGAGATTTTTCACATAGGAAACCACTTGGAAACAGTACAACATACATAATAGGATGCAAAACTGAATATGATCGTAAAAGTATTACCACTCTCGGAACTTTAAATATGGATAAAGACACCACTACACTACATAGTTTCATTTCACTACGTAGGTCGCAGTGGATAAAACTTCACGGTGTTCGGTTTTGTTTCTTTAGGTGGCAGAGCAGAAGGGACCCTCCGTTCAGCTAAGAGTGAAGAGTCTCTTACTTCCCTCCACGCAGTCGACGGTAAGAATGAAGCCTCAGTCGTTTTATTCTGGAATATATTTCATAAAAGAACATAACAGTTGAGAATATTGTATAAATATATGCTTCATGAATAGGCTATAGACTATAATTTCCTAGAAACCCGAGTGTCTATTTAGTATTGTCCATTGATGTTGCAAAATGGTACCAGTCTTTAATTTCTTCACTTTTGACTTGATTGCTATTCAGTTTATGTAAAACTAGGTGAAGTGTTTTAAGTTAACCATTTGTATTTATTAATGTCCAGTGACAAATGGTGTTAGTAGCTTTTCTTTCTCTAAATTTCGTAAGAACACAGTGCTTGTTACAAAGTATGAAATGAAACAGTTTTGATGTTAGGACCAGTAGTCTTGTCTTGCAGATGGCTTAACCTGATGCTAAATTACATATATCGCGCTGACTAGAGGCAGTTCTCACTATTTGAGGATGATTAGTACCAGGATAAGGCAACTAAAGTGAATCTGCCTCAAATGGGGACCAGAATTTCATGGTAAATAGTACCAAAATGTTTGATTGCAACTTGAAGAACAATTATGAAATACATTTTTTAGCTTCCATTTAGCAAAAGTCGGGCTATAGTTGCAACTCTGTACTAATTTTTAGAGTGAACAAAAGATTACTTCAGTGTTGACCTGGAAGGAGATAGAACCTTTTTGGCGAAACCGTGTAGTAGCGGGTAGGACAGCCTTCACGTCGTGCGTGGCTGGTGCAGCGGGCTGGCGAGCGGGCCTCTTACAGACGCAGTCAGCAGCTGCACTGGTTCCCAAGGGCTTTTCTCAGCCCCTTGGCATGCAGATCATGCTCTTTTGATTCCTGGGGTGCCTCCTCCTGGTCAACTTTCTCATCCTCATTTGTTATTTCTAACCGCAGGTCCTCAGTGACCAGTGGCTCTGCTCAGGGTTCAAGAAGTCCTCTCATTTCACTTCAGTCGAGTGTCTGACATCTTACTGGTTTTCTGAGATTTTCCATTTCACTGTTGTTAAGAGAATGGGTCTCAAAAATGGGGGAGTGGGCTGGTTAGATGCTTGTATTAAGCAGAAAATAATATTTGAGTAGAAATTAATTTTATAAGAGGTCAACACGTTAGTCAATGTTTTTGTGTTAAGACAGTGTCTGTCTCTTTATAGTACATTTTCACTTTGGCAATTCTAATAATTGTAATAGAATGCTGAGACTTCTTTTACCAGTTGGATTTTTAACAATATCACAAAATCATCTAATAGTCCACATTCTTAAGGCCTCTGCCTGAGAAACTTAAAGCCTATTCTTGTTAAGGAAAAAAAATAAAAACTAAGTATCAGAAAGGAATTCTTTAGTAAATATATGTAAATACTTTATGAGATTGTAGAGAGTTTAATTGAGAAGTTCAATTTTATAGAAATTTAGGTGTTAGGAGGATTTTTCCCCACCAAAAAAAAAAGAAAGAAAGAAACCCTTTTGCTGTTGTATATCCAAAGTATTGCTCAAAGTGATTAGTTCGGCCTCACAAGCCACGTGTGAGGCCAGTGAGAAAATAAGACAAAAAGAAATGAAGAGCTTGCCCGAAGTCACAACAAGTCAGTGCTGAACTACTAGCAGGATCTAGGGGTTCTGAGCCCCTTTTCCCCTCCCTCTGATGGTGTCAAACCGTCTGTTATGT